AATGTATGCTTTCTTGTTGCTTTCTTCTTCATGATCACCTGTCTTGGTCCACAACTCTTTTTTCAACCGATCATGAACACTTTCATTTTTTAAGCGCCGATCCATGTTATTACAGTGATGTGTATCTTGGGCATGGATAGACAGGCGGTTGATTTGAGATTGCCTAAACTCTCAATATTGATTGCTGCATTCTAGACAGTTGTGTCTGGTAGGCAATTTCAAACCTTTGTTCCAGTAGTATCTGAAGAAAGAGCAATTCTAATGCGATTCGGCTTGCTTCCTTTCATACATTTCTTCTTCTAGTTGACGCTGGTATTCTTGATCCTCTAACCATCGTTGATAATTCTTTTCCTTCTACCGTTGCCACTTATTCAACAAGATTTGAGATGTAACTCGCAGCTTTGTCGCTCCATCCTTTGACGTTTCCCCCTATTCATATCGGCTCTTTTGCTGATCACGACGTTTTCTAATCTCTCTGTATTCATCAGCCGATATTTGTATCTTGGAATCAACTGTTCCAGCTTCTCTTGATTTGGCCAATGTTAGAACCTTAGTTTTTCCTTTGAATACCCCAACATCAACCATATTTTAATCTCTTGGGAAAAGGATTATCATTGATTTTCATCTTTCGAGGCGTATCGAACTTGAGCCTCCCTTGCTGAATAGCCCTCTGTATGTGCTGCAAAAAAATCCTGCACTCATTAGTGGAATGAGAAGTAGCATTATGGAACTTGCAGAATATCTTATTCTTCAACTGTTCAGGGGGCAACATAACATGGTTGTCCGACAATTTGATCTGGCCCTTCTCAAGTAAGAAGTCAAAGAGCTTGTCTGATTTTGTGACATCGAAGTCATAGCTCTCTTCGATTCCGCTTCCCCAAGGATTTGGCACCATTACTATCTTCTTGCCCCAATTCTATTCAGCTACAGCAACCTTTTCTTCTTCATCCTCATAGCCGTCATCGACTGAGTATGGATCATAAGCTTTGGCTATGGCTGTACTCTTCTAGAATCGGGTATCTCTGCGCATACTCTAGAATTGGCTATTGAGCGCTGCTACTCGTTGAGCCAATTGACCCAAGTTGTCAAATTCTTATCCCAATAGCTTTTCTTTCTATGTTGGCAACATTTCTTGGACTGCTAACGCAGCTAGCTAATCATCGGTCAAGCTCAATGAGAAGCACAAGTTTCTAGTCTCTCGGAATCTCTAAAGAAACTCAGTGCCCGATTCATTAGTCCTCTGTCTTATGGTCGTTAAATTGGTTATCTTCTTTTCTCCAGTCCCAATGTAGAAATATGTATCAAACTTCTTCTCTAGGTCAGCCTAATTGGTAATGGAGTTGACTGGCAGTGACGAAAACCAAGTGAAGGCTGGCCTTGATAGGGATAAGAAGAAGAAACGAACTCAATGGACATCCTCAACTGATGCTTCATCCAATTGTGTAAGATACCAACTGACATGCTCTATCGTGCTTGTACTGTCTTGACTAGTGAACTTAGCAAACTCTGGGAGCATGTAATTTGTAGGAAGAGCGACCAAATCATACCACTCTGGATATGGATGTTTGTACGAAAAGGTCAACCCTTTTGGTTTCAGACCAAACTGATTCTTCATCATCTCGGTCACTTTCAGCAGCAACTCGTCAGCTTGTGGATTTGGATTTCTCGGTACTTGCTGACCCATCTGTGGATTGAAATCACGCGTGCCCTGATATCCTGGATTTGGCATCATGTGGAGAGTGTTATAATCTGTGCCATAGTGATATCCTTGTGGAATCTCAATCTGCTGGGTCCTCTGCTGGCTTGCTGCCTGAAGTCTCTGATTGTAGACATAAGGATCTATATCTCTACGGATTCTTTGAATCGATGGTGCTATTTTTTGAGCCGACGATGGTATGTGGCCTAATGTGCCAAAATTAATCATCTGATTCTAATTCTGCCCCGTCGGCTGTTGCACGTGCTGTATTAATGGTCCAAGATTGTACTGTATCTGATTTGTAGTAGTATCTTGAGCTTGTTCAGATGAACCTTGAAGTGCCTGGACGTCATTATTACCAGCTGGTGCTGCTCCTTGATGGCTGGTACCGACTTAATTAGTCCCTTAGGTCGACGGATCTGGAATGTTGTAACAAGTCGATCCAACCTGACCAACTGGAATTCCATAAATCGCCTCTTTCATGGTGTTGTGAAATGCGTCAACGAAAGCTTTATTGCGGCTTGATAGGGCATCGCGAACAGATTTGTCTATGGCTTCCACAAAGAAACGTCTGTCTTCAGCTTCGACCGTATCTGTCTGTCCGTGTAGTAGAACTCTTGGTAGTGGAAATCTCTGAATAATGGTGCTGTCACGTGTCTTGGTGTAGGACAGCAAATACTTCTTCTGAAATTCTTCTGTAGCTTTATTGATAGTATCCTTATCTTCATCAGGTAGGTCTTCATAATATACCATAAGGATGTTGTCGTTGTTGTGAACCGCCATGACGATTGTGGGGTCCCACCGGACATACCAGAAACGTGTGTCGACACAGAATTTTCGTCTCCGTGCCGAGGACACACGCAGCAAGCCGGAAGGGTCCGCTTGATGGAGCAGATCCGCCTTGCTTCAGTGCAAGGGTGGCCGATCCTACGCAATCCTCCCAAGACGTGCTAGTCAATTTGACCCTGCAATTGACAAGGAGAGAAAGCTTATCAATAAGTAAGGACGGAACATGCCGGTGTTGCCAGACAGTCCTGAATGTGCGGCTCTGAGAGCCGATTTGAGAGGAAATCGACTAAATAGTCGATTCCAGCATATTCATAAGAATAAATCGGTTAAAGCTCATAGTTGTGTAAGAAGAATTGGTTATCATTCAGGATAAACATAATTCGAGCAAAAATTAATCAAAGACAATAAGATGTCAACTATGATCGGTTTAAAACTGAGCCAATGATTACAAGTAACCGAACCCCTTTTTATATAAAGAAACAATTCAGCACCACTTAACTATTTAATAAAAATAAATCTAATGGACATGTTAGATCTTATCTATCGCCATGACCAGTGGGCATGAGGCAGAATCATGTAGGCCATAGAAACAACAATAGACTCGATAACCCTAACTCATTACTAATATCAGTGGGGCATGAGACAGAATCATGTAGGCCGTAATACAATAATAAGATCATGGGGCTAACATATCTTTCAACTTATCTCTATTTCAATGATCTCGTAATGTGAACTGTTCGTGAAAGCACTTGATATCGGCTAAACAGCCGATTCAGGCATAACGCACAGTTAAGGTCATGCTTTCTTATGAACGGATCTACTAGCTAACGATCACCACTCCACGGTGCTAACAGTGGGGTGAGAGACAGAATCCCACAGGCCGTGATAACGGGCCATGAAACGGTTCTCGCTAACCAATAGATCTGCTCAAGATCGAACATGCCTTAACCGCACGCTATGCACGATTAAGATTGATGTAAAACAGCCGATAAAAACATAACTCATCGTCTAAGGTGTAGATTAGATTAGTTTTAAATTAGTAAACGATGGGTTAAACAAGATATAAGTCCAATCTAGATCAATCTCAATCGGGCAGAGTAATATTGCTGTAATTAGATAAACAATGAAAGTAATAAGCAATATCGGTAACTTAATGAATCTACCAGAGACTGCCATTCAAAGGTAGAGCCGATAACTTGACCTTGATCTAGTTCAAGCAGTGGGGTATGAGACAGAATCACACAGGCCATACTTGAACTAGGCAAGAGTCGATAACTAGCCTATACCAGAGTCGCAGTGGAGGTCGATCGGATCGATGCAGCCATACGAACAGAAATATAAACCATGACGGTACTTACAGACAAGCAGCGGAGGTCGACCAGATCGATGCAGCCGTACTCACTGAAGAACTCGCCGAGATCTACTCTACTCCTACTCATAAGGGGTGGCCGGAGACGAAAAAATAAATTAACTTGTATTTGATTGATTGATGTCTTTACAATAGCCGGGGCTTTGATATTTATACCCGGGACCTGTGTACGACTCCTGTCTAAGCACGACTCATCACAATTTTTAACCTTAAAGAAAACATTTCTAATTTAAGGTAACTTGGACTCTAATCTTTCCTTTTCGTAGAGTCCAACATGTCTACGCCGAACGTAGCCTTCGTCGTTATCTGCCGGCGTTATTTGAAGAAAGCCGATTCCAGCTCTTGCATCTGAATCAGCTATTTCTGATCTGCACGCAATTGATCTCCTGCTGGCATGATTTTGGGAGCTCTCGAGCCCCTAAGACCCTTCTTCTAAATTTCGATGTAAACAGTATTATTTACCACATATAAGTAATAAAAAGTATTATATTAATTTTTCACATTTTTATTATTTTTAAACATAATTAGTATAATAGATATTCTAAGTCACTATACAATTGTAATAAACTTATCAAGTTCTAGTCTACATTTTTTTATCTATATCTATATTTTCTCTTTTGAAAACGGTGTTTGTGTATTTTGAATATACATAATTAGTTGAAATGTAGGTAAACTACGAAGTCGAATTAAATCCAACAAGATAGCTAGTTAATTATGGACCTTAGGACCATATAACATATAGTATATCTTGTTGCAATGCTCCGGCATATTTGTTAGTCTCTAATAGTGCATAACTAGTATATTTTAAATTGGAAAAATATATTACAATACCAACATTACATTGCCAACCGGTATAGGCCCAGCCCACTGCCGCACTTGGGCTCAGGCGACGAGGAGCGGCGGGGCTGGGTATCGGGCGGAGGCGCGGAGCGGCGACATGGCGGAGCGGAGCGGGGCGTGGCCGGGTGATGCAGGGAGGGCCGGGGGCTGGGGGGCGGCGTGGCGGTCGGTCAAGCGGAGCGGAGACAGCTGAGGGGAGACGGACGAGAAGGGGCGAGCGCGGGAGAGAGAGCGTGGGGCGTAAAAAACCGAGGCTTCACCACGGCAAGACGCCGGAGGAGACTCTTGTTCGCTTCGCTCGACGAGATGGCGCGTGCTCCGCGGCCGTCTCCGGTGCCCACCCTGCTCCGCCTCCTCTCCTCCCACCCCTCCCTCTCCGCCGCAGCCCACGCCGCCCTACTCAAGTCCTGCTCGCTCTCCAGTCCCGTCCCGATCGCTGCCACCGCCCTCCTCACCGCCTACGCGAACGCCGGACTCCCGAGCGCCGCGTCCCGCCTGTTCGACGAAATGCCCGCGCGGGACGCCGTCGCGTGGAACGCGCTTCTCGCCTGCCTCGTCTGCCACGCGCGCCCCGGGGCGGCCACCGCGGCCTTCCGGGGCATGGCCGCCTCCGGGCTCCCGCCCACGGCCGCCACGCTCTGCACCCTACTCAAGGCGTGCGCCGCTTCGCGTGCCGCCCGCCCCGGCCGCCAGCTCCACGCGCGGGGTGTCGTCTCGTGCCACGCCGACGCCGACGTCATCATGGCCACCGCGCTCGTCGATCTCTACATGAGCTGTGGTCTCGTCGAGGACGCCATGAGGGTGTTTGTGCTCACGAAGTGCCCAAAGGATGCCGCCCTGCACAATGCTCTTCTCTCAGGTTGTGTGGAGAACGGCTGGTTCAGCGACGCCTTCTCGATGCTGAGGCGGCAGACAGAGCTCAATGGGATCTCGCTGACCTCTGCTCTCACAGCCTGCGCAGCGACAGCCAACTTGGCTTATGGTATGCAGGTGCATTGCAAGGCTCTCCGTGGTGGGTTTGATTCTGACACCATTATATGCAATGCGCTTATTGACATGTATGCAAAATGTGGGAGGGCAACGGCTGCACGTATGGTATTCGACCGGATGGCTACCAGAAATGTGGTCTCCTGGTCAAGTATGATTGACGCTTACGGTCGCCATGGACATGGTGTGGATGCTTTGGATCTGTTTAAGCTAATGGAGAAAGCTGCACCAATGGTCTTGCCAAATGCTATCACATTTCTGGCGGTTCTGTCAGCCTGCGGACACTCTGGCCTGGTGGATGAAGCTCAGTCCATGATGCATTTGATGAAGAGCAAGTACGGGATTGATCCACAACCAGAGCACTACGCATGTCTAATAGACATGCTAGGACGTACAGGCCGTATTGACGAGGCTTGGAATCTATATTGTAGTCTAACTGCAAGTCGAAATAAGTCTTCCAGTGCCGTCTGTGTCGCGATGCTGAATGCCTGCAGAGCAAACATGGATGCTGTAAGAGGAAAGAAGATGGCTGTGCGCATGCTGGAGGTTTACCCACGAAATCCTGGGATTCAAGTGTTGATATCAAATTTTCATGCTGCTATGAGACAATGGTCTGAATCAATTGAATCGCGGAGGCTTATAGTGGACAAGGGTCTCAGGAAAGAAGCAGCTAGCAGTCATGTCTCTTTTGGCTAAAAACATTTGCCACAGCGTGGCAAAGGTTGGTTTGGGATACCAAACAGACCCTTACCCGAAGTACACACCACAACTGGTATAGCAAGAATTTTAGTGCTGATTTTGATTTCGTCACCATAGTTCACTTTTGTTTTGACAGATAAAAAGATTGAAAGTTGTTGGTATATATATGCTTTATTAATGCCAAATGATGCAGCTTCATCTAGCTTACTTGTGTTGCCATATGATTACTTGTGTAACACTCTCTGGTGTCGAGTTAAAAAGGAGCTGTCGTTGTGCAGTTTGACGCGATTAGAGTGTGCCTGAATTTTTGTTCTCTTACATTTCTGTGTTTTATAAAAAGGATGAACTGAGGAAGCCATAAACAATCCATGAGAATGGATTCGAAGAACTGACGATACATCTCTTGGGAAACTATATAGCTTGATAGTACGTTTTATGGCTCCAGACTCTTGTCTTGTTGGTTTTACTGCACCTACCCCTTTTTTTGATTATTGGTTCAGTATAATTGTGAAATTGTCATGATCTTTATATGAACTTACACACCAATACAATACTGTATAACAGAAGTATCAAACGAACAGACATAAATACTTTCTGAAGTTGGATGCGATGAAAAGCCTCTTCACGTGCAGCTCGTGTATATATGTGGATGTGGTACTGGATCAAGTTCAGCGCTGAGAAGATGATATTCATCTTGGTAAAGCAACACCCTTCGACCAACAGGTACATAAAAAGTGTTTCCTTGTACCATTGGGAAGAAAAGACAACTATGTCATCAGCTTGGCTTATCAGTCATGGTACAGTATTTTTCTCTCATAACAAATCAGCGAACTGTACTTTTCAGTATAGCTTTTCAACGAAGCTAACAGGACAAATCAGCGAAGCGAACACTACCATCTAGTATGAGAACAGGGACGATGACGGAACCTATAGCGGCGAGAATAGCATACTGAGATGAGAGGAGATTTTCACAGATCAGATAATAATTTAGCGACAATCCCGGAACAAATGCGGTGGCAAACGGAACAGGAGAATGGACCTGGGATGCACCATAAAGAATCACAGAAAGGACCTGTCCCTACTCGATATCCACAGTACCCTAGGTAACAAACTCAACAGCCGACTGGTCGATTTCCTTTTCTTTTTTTTCCCAGAAATCATAGAAAATCGCTTGGGGTTCATCATTCAGTTCAGATGGCAAGACGCCAGTTTTCAAACAAAACAGGAGTCAAATGACAGACTTGCTGCCATCTGAAATTGTTGCAGATTGTCCTGTTGAGAAAAACTACTGCATTTTTGTTTTCAAAAGCAGCACATACATTATGCAATAAATTAGTAGGAAGCATATGCAGAGGAGCATATACTATACTGACAGAAGCTAAATGTGTTGGTACAAGGATTGCACATTTGGACGAGTCATCAGACAAATCAAATTCCAAAAAAAGAACTAACCAGCAAATGCATAAACGATATACTTGCCACAACGCATCGTGATGGTGTTGAGAACAGTGATTGAGGCACGAGCAAAATAAGAGGCTGACTTTGAGATCCAGCTAAGGGAATCACCAATAGTGTGCGGTGTGCCATGCAAAATTCTAGGAGCAACGGGCTTTACATTCCTTCCTTGTCTATGCAAGTGTGAACGTGTGCCACTAACATATAAATATAATAAATAAAACTTAAAAGAGAATTTCATTCTACTATAATGAAGCCTAGATTTCTTTCCGCGGCCATTGGCGATCCCATAGCTAGAAAATTGCAATATTGAGCCTGTCCAAGATGAATTGCCACAAAACAAGCAATCTAAGAGCGATCTCACAATGCGATCCATCATCTGACTCATTGGTTGTTGATTTCCCGTGGAGCCCAATCAATGGAAATCGAAAATTGGCAATCTGTAGCTTCTTGAAATTCAGTTCAGATGGCAGAAAAGGGTGCAAGAAACACCCTAGCTTTCAATCACGAGAGCACCCAAATTATGCTTCATGGCATCTGAACTGACTTTCAAATCTTCAAATCGCCTTGTTTAGCATCGATAAGCAGGCAATGGGTAAGTTTGCTACCTCCTATAGAATGTGGATGCATAAGGTGACACGAAAAAAAAAGGCATCATAGAAGGAGCCCTCTCTGGCAGGCTTCCAGGTTGCATCACCTGTAGTGTCACTGTAGCGCCGGTCGGTGGCTCCAGCTCCACCCAAAATCAACTACGGTCTACGGACAAGAGATTCTTGGGCTTCACTGGCTCATACAGTGTTCGAACAGTGTCAGGATCGGAGCACCCCTTAGCCTTGTCAAATAAGCCCTAGATATGTTGCTACATGTACCAATTGCATTAGTAGCAGGCAGAGTCACATAGCAAATCCCAAACCTCACCATTCCTCGCTGGCAGAAGCACCTCTGTAGCAACATTCATTATTATCCGTTCATCGGGGCGGAAACAAACCACCCCCATCTTATTACATCACAGACAAGCATTACTACATCCTAGGACACCACCTGGGTTCCCGGTCTTCAATGGAGTTCCTTTAGGAAGTCGGTGTTGTCAACCAGAACATACAATGGCTCTATTTGCTTCGTTGAAAAGCTAGGTTGAAAGTACTGTACCATGGCCAATGTTAACGATAAAATGTCACATTTCTTAGGCACCTACTTCAAAAATTTTGGGTTAGAGGGGTTGGGGGGGGTGTTAATGTCTTGACAAGTATAGGTATAGCAATCGTTGGATGTGTTACATGATTCATTAGATTTGGGGGGCTGAATCACACCACAACACAATAGTCATGAGATGAGAAGATAGCGCAGATAAAGATATTGGAGCTATAGCTTTAGCTTTCTAGTGTACACCCATGAAACAGAATCCTGTCCTAACAGTGGCTTGGCTTCACAGGTGCATCAAGTTTAAGCTTTGAAACTCTGGTAGTGCCAAAGTTTATGCAAAGCATTAATCATTTCATTGTCACTGGCTCTAGATTTGAAGAAAGCACTAGTCAATTTCACAGTTAACTTTGTGTTTATTTTACGCAAAAAATTAACAGTTAACTGTCTAGAACATACGGAAGCGTACCATTTTCCAACCATCTGGATCAACAAAAGAGACGATCTTAGTGTTGATCCCAGGTAGCGCCCCTGAGTGAGGGTCGTCAGTGTGGCAGAACCGCCCGAAATAGCATACTTACGGAGGCGCTCGTCTTCCACCAGACACTAAGCACCCCGAAAGCAAGTTACAGCGAGCGGTGTCCGTCGGGCACACCCCGAGGGAGAACCCGAAAGATCCACATTTTTCCCAAGAATCCAATAATGAGAACGAGTTACAATACAAGTCTATTTCATACATCAGAATTTCTTAAAAAGTACATTATTACAATACCAAATACCAGAGTGCGGAATGATAAACATCGGAATTTAAAAATAACATCTAGCGGTAAAAGGGCGAGGATTCCGTCTGAGCCCACCAGAAGGATCCTCCACACAAAGGTACTCTTCAAGCATCACCTGCAACAGGGGTAAATAAACCCTGAGTACACAATGTACTCGCAAGACTTACCCGATGGGAATAATTTCCCGACTCCAAATAATATGATAGACTTTATGGTTTACTGTTTTTCTTTAGCAGAAAACAATACTAATAGTGAGTCCTTATTTATGTATTATTATTATCAGCCGTATTAAGTTATCATCTAGCCAGTCTATATAAGCACATGTTGTACTTTCAAGCAAGAGTTGAGTAATCAGTTATATTTCTTCTCCTTTTCACTTTCAGTTCTTACTACGGTGCTAAACTGCAGACAAGTCGTACTGGATTTTCCGGCGATTCGCGAATCAATGTGCCCAGCTAGGTGCCCCGAAAACACACGCCCCGTTTGTACCCCAGGCACAAGCAGGACTAACCCATCACTCCCCTGTCCCGGGTGTCCAGGTCTCCGTCCAAACTTGGACTCCAAGCCCCCACATCCTGAGTCCCGGACTCAGTGTGGTGCAAGGACCTCCACCACCTCCTCTTCCCATCAGTCGGTCCGAAAAGAGCCGGATCCACGACAAGAGAGCAACAAGTCTTCCCTACGCCCATACCCAAGTATGCGCTCAGGACAATAAATCTGTGACTTACCTAGAGCCATATGCAACGACTGGTCCTTAATCGACACAGACAGAGAAAAAGTATAACCAAGTCATGCCCTGTTGGCCGCAGGACACAACCCCTTACATCCACCAGTACTCAATCCATATCCCTATCCGGTCACCATTTTCCTTTCCACCATTTTATCATGAGTGTTCATATTTTATTACTTATTTGCGAGTAATGACAGGTTACTCACGCTACCGATATCCTGAGCATAGCAGCTACTTGTCCTGTACTAGTAGGACTCATGGGTAGGTATATTTATGCAGGTAGTTTACATAAAATGTCTGTAACTTAAATGCACATCACATATATGTATTCAGTGATCATAAAAATAGGGATTATGCACCGAGGCTTGCCTTGGGCAGGCGATAGGTCAGCAAGGTCAGCACCAGCAGGCTCCGGGGCTCCCTCCTGCACAAGGATCTCCTCGTACTCCTCGATCACCTCGTCATACTCTGGCTCGCCAACGGACACGAAGTCTACCAGTTCGTGATCTACATGAAATGATGATGCAATGATTAACAATATGACAACAACAACTCTTAAAATAAAAGTACATCTGTTTAACTACTAAGCTAATGCTATCGACCACGGTACTAGACTACCTATTGTTACCGATAACCATTTTGAAGTATGATGTTCATTATTATTATAGCAACTATAGATATTCGTACTCCTAATGCTAATTTACGCTATATACGATAAAGCAAGGATAATAGCTACGTTATTTATCAACTCATTCTAAGGCTACAAAATTTACAGCAAGTACATAATAACCTAGTGCACCTACTGTAAAGTTTTCATAGCTGTAGCTATCACCAATTTACCATAAAAATTCCTACAAATATTAATCTATATAATACTAAGCTTTCTAATT